ACACGGCCACGCGTGGCCCCCCCTTCCTGCTCCCTCCGCCATCCTGATTGTTTATATACTTATATATATATTTATATAGAGAGCTAATAACTAATTGCACGTTTAGATCCTTAGGTATGAAATATTTTATATTTTCCTCTTTTTTTAATTGTAATTAATGATTCTTTATCCCCTCTCCCCCCCCACCCGGGCTTCCTCTGCAGGGACGTGTCCCATTGCCCTGGTTCAACTGGGTGAACTGGTGCACTGAGTCAATATTTGCGGGTCCCCGTGGGGGTGGCGCGGTCATAAAAACGCAAATGGCATCTCCCCCCTTCCCTTTTCCCTTTTTCCTGCTGATTTCTGCGACGTTTCCCAATATCGGCGCGATGTGTTGGAGGGCTGAACTCGGGACGTGGCCTTTGAGACCTATTTCTGGGCAAAAAACGCTGCCATCGGTGCTCTCCGGGGACCTGCATCGTACTCGGTCCCCATATTTTTATTAAAAACCACACTGGCCTTTAAGACCTGTTTCTGAGCAAAATGCTGCCATCGGTGCTCTCCGGGGGCCTGCATCGTACTCGGTCTCCCTATTTTTATTAAAAAACACAAAATCTAATTTCAGGTCCCATCCACACCCCTGTGCCCAGCCCGGGTCACTGCAACGTCCCCAAAACTACCAGAGAAATCTCTGCTCCCAGCCCGAGGAATGAGCTTCCTGCTGTCTCCTGGACCCTACCATCCCACAAAAAGCCCACCCCCACGATTTATTTGTCTTTTTGTAAATTAGCCAACTAATTTAATCTCTTGGCAGGTGAAATAATAATTTTCAAGACAGCCGTTACCTTTGGCGATTTATTTTTTTTCTGGAAAAAGAAGAATGTAAGAAATTGATGCCTGCATCTGTGGTTATTGCAGCAACAAATCCAATATTTATATTTTTGCCAGTCCAAAGCTGCGTACGAAGCATAAATTAGTTCGTTTTGGGACGTGTAAAACCCCTCTTTTGGACTGGATATATCCCACTGAACACAAGCAGTGGCAGTGATGCTGTGAGGTTGATTTACACCGTTTGGGGTTGGTTTGTGGTTTTTTTTGTCCCTTATTATTGGTGAAAATGTTGCTCCTGGGCCGTCCTGCCCCGCTCAGGTCACGTTAATTGCGTTAATTCCTGCTCTGCTCGGGCTCACAGCCCCATCTGGTGGCACCTGCGGCGGAGCTGCCAGCGATGGCTGGCAAAGGCAAAAAAAATCCTCCGTTTTTGGGTCCTTTCAGGGCTGGGATGTGTCGGGGAAGCTCTGGAGCAAAACCCTTCAGCCCTTGCTGGAAGGTCTCACCAGGCTGTGCCACCTGCTAATACACAGACTAAAGAAATCTGAATTTTGCTCTGCTGGGGAGAGAAGTTCTTCCTTTAAAGCATTGTGTTGATGAGTTTGAGGCCAATCTGTTAGAATATATTCTCTAAGGAATCACTTGTGCCCTTGGTCTCTGCTTTTAGGAAAAATATCAAGCCTCTTCCAAACAACTTGTAGAACTTCCCTCCATCTCTGGCCTCGTGTGTGGCTCAGATATATTCTCTAAGGAATCACTTGTGCCCTTGATCTCTGCTTTTAGGGAAAATATCAAACCTCTTCCAAACAACTTGTAGAACTTTCCTCCATCTCTGGCCTCGCGTGTGGCTCAGACACCGATTCAGTTATTTAAGTAGAAGGTGTAATTCATTACGTCTCTGCTCCCCGTGACTTCAGGACTCCTTTTGCTTCAAATAAGACTTATTTAAAGCTGCTTTGCAGAACCTGTTGCTTACACCAGTAACGTGGAGCTTCTCATAACTGTGTCCGTATTGTCAATTGGTTTTCTTGCTCGTTAAAAAGCTGTTTGTTGCTTGTAGAACTGTGCAGCACGTGTTATCTTTAAATCTGTTCCTGCTTCCTCAGAAATAGCAGCACAGGAGCTGTGAAGGGCACAGTTGGCTATTTTGCCTCTGCCTTTTAAAATAGGTATTGCTTTTAGCCTTGTAATTGTACGTTTAATGTAAATAATCATTTATATGATGGTATGGAACGTTTGAACATTAGTTCACTTTGTACAGCATCTGGATAATTCAGATGAACGAGGGATGGGTCCTGGTGTCTGTGTTCATTCCCATGAAAGAGCTGGTCACTTTCCACTGGTTTGGTACAAAACCATTTAGCCCAATTTAATTGACCAAACAGAAATGGTGTTTTCTTGCCTGTTTTGAGCCGATCTGCGAAACGATAAAAAGTAAGAAGCTCTACAGTGAATTTTCCACCTCCCCACCTTCTGACAATACCTAACCACAGCTTCTCCATGTAGTTTCCTTGTTGTTGCGTGAAGGGGAACCTCAGCCTCCCCAGTGTCCTGAGTGTGTGTTTTCTCTCCCCAGCAGTCCCCTCAGTCTCGCTGGCTGACGACGGAGGAGAGGAGCCAACTCCTGCTCCATCTCAAAGCTTCGGGCTGGGCTGAGCTGGGCGAAAGAGATGCCATCTACAAAGAGTTCAATTTCAAAAATTTTAATCAGGTAATTAGCGTTAGGAACCGCTTTAAATATAAAGGAAGTGTAACTGCTTTCATTTCCATACCATCCCGATGGGAAAATGTTTATATTCAGAAATTTGGGAGTATCCTCGTGGGGCCCCAAACCCTGCTGGATTTGCCTCGATGAGTTGCTCCCTGATTCTCATCTCGTTAGGTGGAGCAAATTAATTCCGTTTTGTAGTTGTTAAGTAAATTTGTTCTAATATTACAATTTCTGGATTATAGTATTAGGGTCAAGGTCAGGGTCGGTACTATGGGATTAGACAAATAATATTTCTTCCTCATTTATTTTTTTTCCCCATTACTAGCGCTTGTAAATGAATGCTGGGTATATGTGGAGAGTGGGGTTTGGTTTTGGCAGGAAAAATCTTGAAGAAAAATGGGTAACTGTAAGAACAGAAACTTTTGATAAATCAGGTGGGGAAAATATGATGTGTTTCACCTTCTGAGCAGGAAGACAGGGTTCTGGTATGTTCTTGAATGAATCATAGTGGCTGATCTGGCAGAGCCTTCGGCAGGGCAGGCTGCTGGTTAGACCTGGCTGGGTTTTTATTTGGAGTCAGGATCCCGAGCCACGTCTCGGACATGAGTTACAAACTTCCTTTAGAAACACTGACTTGATCTTGAGACTTGCTGTCAGCTCCGTTCCCCTAAAAAAAAATTGCCTTCTGAGGAATCCTGACGTTGCTTAGAGAAAAGTCACGTTCCGAGAGCGTGCGTTTCCCTTCTGGTTTATTTCTGCAGGAGAGGTGAGCAGTTTCTTGGGTGGGAGAGGAAGCCCTGGGTTTTGTTGGAGCGATGGCTCTCCCTGAGCTGGTTCTTCTCCTTGCTCTGAGAGGGACACAGCGAGTTCCGGGTGTTGTTGGTGCACGTAGGGACCAAGATCTTATTTATATGGCAGTGCCTCAACCCAGACCACGATTATTTTGGAGGAAATCACAGTGAACTAGAAAAATAACAATTTGTAAAGCTGGCTCTTTTTTTTTTTTGCCGTTTCAGACAGTAGTTGTCACAGTAAAGAAAGCCCAGGCAGTGGAGAGAAGGTGGGTGAGTTGCCCTCAAGCCCCTCTGAGCTGAGAGAAAGCGAAAGAGAAAAGAACTGCAGAAAAAGCCAGCTCACGAGCAGGAGAGTGCTGGGCTGGGTGGCACATCTGGAGCCTCCTGTACATTTTTTTCCTGGATTTCACTTCAAACCTGGACGCTAATACAGAACAATTCAGATAATTCAGAGGGTAACGCAGGAGGGAAGCCCATGAGAGGGAGCTCACATGAAACCTTGGTGAGATACGCAGGCAGCTCGGGGCTGGAGCAACCAGGAGAGAACAGCACCTTTGATAAAAGAGCTGAGATTTTCAGCCTTTGTGTTTTGAATCTTCATGAAACGACATCTCTGCTGAGGCACGGTCAAAGCCTTTGCTGTTCAGCACAACTGGAAATTACTTCTTTGTCCCCAAAGTTAATAAAAACGTGGTTTTGCACACTGCAATTAAGTAAGTCTGCTTGATCAGGTGGACTTAGGCAGTCAGGCAGCAGATAGGTCAAGAGATTAATCGGTGTGACCCGACAGCAGATACCTAGAGAACCCATTGTTTTGGCAAAAAATTACAAAGTTGGGGTTATTTTTGACTGTGTACATTTATCTTACAAAACAGGTAGATATTCATATGTCTTCCTAATTTAAAGACCGATACCAGTGTAGGAAATGGAATATATTTGAATAGTCTTATTATTAAATCTTGAAGTATAAATTTATATTACTAGTACGTGTCATCTTAAAGAGGGTAATCTTAAAAATAAATGTAATTTGGATTGTTTGGGAGATGTTGGCACAGGCTCTGTCGCCCCTGGTTACCCCTCACGGGTGTCGGGTAAGGCAGAAATGAGAGCAGAGGCTGAGAATTGGCTTCAAAACTGAGCTTTCTGCCCCCAGCAGCTGGGTGGGTGGGATGCTCTGGGCAGCTCTGGCTGGGTCAGGGTTCTATGTGAACATCCGAGGGCAGAAATTTCAGTGAATTTCAGTGAAATTCAGTGAATTTCACCTGCTGATTCCGAGGAACCAGCTCCCTCCTCCCCATTTGTGGTCGTTTGGGGCAGAAGCCGTCCCTGGTATCGTAGTCAAAAGGGCTCAAGGTGCAGCTCCCGAGGGGATGCTCAGAGCTGGTATCACAGAGGGAGTATTTGCCTTTCAATAAGTTGAAGCTGGAAGTAAATTAAAATTATGCATGTATGCTTATTGATGGTTATATTTGTAATAGCTTTTAGTAAATACTGTGTTTATTATGACCTAGGGAGCAAACAACCAAAGCAGACCTGTATACCTGCACTGTACTTTGGGGGAATTTAGTCCTGCAAGGAAAAAAAGTTGAACTTGTAGGTACAACTTCTTTCATTTCACATAATAAATATTCTATTTGCTTTATTTAGAATGTGATTATTTAGTAAAAGCCAAAGGACTGAGAAATGTCATTTCCTCGGTGATCTTCCTGCTGCCCTTTTACAGATGGAGTATAATCAGGTGTGTAAGAAGAGGGAAAAAAAAAAAAGCAAAACCAAGAAAAAAAACCCCAAAAGTAGTTGAGCTGACATGAAAGGTATTTCAGATTTATGTTTTGCAGATGATATTGGTATGATTAATGTATTCATTGCTTTTTTTTATTGCCTCTCGCAGATAATGTTCATGATGCATGGAAAATTCTGTGTCTTTAAAATCTATGCCAGGTTTACAGAGTCTGTGTATGTCAACAGATGTTAAGAATATAAACACAACTTTTATTATAAAGTCGTGCAAATGTGTAGACATGAGCTTGGTTTATGTATATTATTTTCAGCATGAGAATGAAATGAAACTTCTGTGAAACAAGAGTTATTTAGATTCCTGCAGCTTTCAGGCTGAGATTAGCCTGGTTGAAAGCGCTCAGGAAGGGGCTGCCTTTGGGAGGCTGACAAGCTAATGACACTTCGGGCTTAGGGAATTAGTTTCTAACCCAGAACTTGAAAGCGCTGGTGCCGTTTGTTAGGCTGAAGATACATTTTCATGAAAATGGCCTTTGGTGGTACAGTTTTCTGAAACAAGCTGGAAATCAGCCTGGGCTCCCGGCTGAAAGCCCTTTGTTACGTTGCTGTGGGTGCCCACCACGCACCAGTCCTGCTCTACTGGGCTGGGTGGTGGGTGCTGCTCCGTGTTCTTCTTGTCTCTAGCACCAGACAGGCTCCTGGAGGGTGGGTGTTCTGAATCTTGTATAATATATGAACTACACCAATGATGGGGGGAAAAAATGCAAACGCAACTCAACCGTAGAGCAGAGCACCTCGTCTGGAAGAGCTCTGCTGATTGCACCAAGGTGTCCATTCCTCCTTTGGCCTTGCAATGTTATTGCCACTGTTGAGTAGCAAGTGGGCAGTGATGAGTTAAAATCAGAGGCTTTTACCTGCAGGACCCGCGCTGTGGTGTGTTTGCTCAGGTCGCTTTCCCCCGGGGAGCGTGCATTTGGTATTAAAATCAGAGGCTTTTACCTGCAGGACCCACGCTGTGGTGCAAGTCTCTTTCCCCAGGGAGCGTGCATTTGGTGGAAACCTCTGGCCATGACCAAGGTCTTGGAGAGTGGGTGGGGTTGGGCCACTCCATGGCAAGTCTTGAGCCCTGCCGTGCGTCTTGGTGCTGGTGACCCTCACAGCCACATCAGGGAGCTTATTCAGAGCTTCTTTCCCTGAGTTCAGGGAAGAGACAAGCAGCTAATTGGAAACCTCTGGCCATGACCAAGGTCTTGGAGAGTGGGTGGGGTTGGGCCACTCCATGGCAAGTCTTGAGCCCTGCCGTGCATCTCGGTGCTGGTGACCTTCCATAAACCTCACAGCCACGTCAGGGAGCTTATTCAGAGCCTCTTTCCCTGGCTGCAGGGAGGAGACAAGCAGCTGACGAGGCTTTCAGGCCACTGTGTGGCATCAAGAAGGCATGTTCTTGTCCGTTTGTGTCTGAAAGAGAAGGTTTCTCTTCCAGCTGTGGAACAAGCCCTCTGCTTCCAGTCTGCCCAAGCAAAATTCAGAATCAGGATAGAAGGTTAAACACCTCCAGACCACGCTGGTAACTTCTCCCAATTATTGTTCTGTGAACCCAGGAAAGAAACTGCAGAAACTTCGGGACTAACGTCAAAAGTTGGTCATCGAGGGAGGGGGGGGAAGGGTTGCTGAGGACCTTGATGTCCTGCCCTGTGTCTCAGGAAGTTCCCAGGATTTTCTCAGCGTTTCAGGTCGGCACAGCTCGGGAGGGGTGATCCTGTGAAGGGGATAGACCTGGCTTCAAAACCTGAATTTCCCCAGGTTCATCTGGAGCCCAGTCCTGTCTGGGTGAGGCTCCGAGTGCTCGGTTTGGGTCCCTTCTCCAGCTGCTCATTTTCACCAAATCTGCAGGAACATCTTAACTCCGAGACTTCCATGTCTCTTGTCAAAGTTGGTTGGATTTGACCAGAGGGTTTAAGGGGCAACTGCCTGTGTGATTGCATTTCCTTCGGTAATCACGCCCAGGCAGAAAATGCAGTTAGGAAATTACAAAGGTGGGCATGTTTGCTGATGGTCAGGTTCAGCATTTACAGCTGCTTTCTTTTATAGGGTAAGTTTTTAATTAAGGTTGG